AGCTCGAGTGACCCAACAGGTCCCCACTTGACACCCTGACACTCACAGTCAGACCAGTTTCCTTACCGGTTCACGTCGGGTTTCCCATGGCAGAGTTTCAGATGTCTCGTTCCATAAAGCAATTTATTCATGGTGCAGTAACACAGAAACAGCTCGAGCTGCTGCCTCCGAGGAGGGACCCTCAACAAAGGAACCCCTGGGCTTTTATATCCTCACAGTCCAGGTGAGTGCAAGCCTCTCTTCCTCCTGAGTCTTCTGCTCCTGCTCCGCTTTCTGTGTCCATCCATCCACCTTGCTGATGTCACCCAACTTCATCTCCTTTTTTATCCAAAATGTCAGCAGTTCCTGCCTCCTGCTGTGTCTCTGTGTCCATTCTCATGGTCTTTGTGCCCTTTGATGTCTCAAAGGTTGGCAGTTCAGGGCCTTTTGTCTTGGGCTCCCACCTGGGGCTCAGTCTGCATCTCAATCTGCAGCTGACAAGCCGAGCTACCTGGACCAGGTGTATTCCTCAACAGCCCCCAAGTCCCTGTGTAGTTTTTACAGCTCTTTGATAGTTAATTCCTCCTAATGTGACAGGAGGAATGTATTCAAGTGTCAGATCCACTGACCAGTATGATGTGCCTTTATAAAAAGGGCTTGGTTTCTACTGTTCTGAACTAGAACAGACTTGAGACACAGTAGAGTTCTCTCAGCTCTATAAAAGAGTAAAAATGTACGAGTGCTGTGGCTAAGTAATCCTACTCTTCTTTCCTGAAGCAGTTTTGTTTTTTAAACTATATGGTGATGTGTTTTCACTGTGCATTGCCCATAATTATCCACTGCCTTCTCCAGTCTGAACAGTCATCCCTTCAGGCTTCATTAATGCAGTCAGTAGGGCATTAAAGCTGGTATAGCTTGTTGTATGACTGTGGAGTTTTGGTTTTTTCAGAGACTTGTGGAAACTGAATCACACACATCCTGTTTGATAGCTTCTCACTGTTTAAAACTCAGACTACTGGAATTCTGCGTGCCTTGAGAGATTTATGAGACTGGTAGATGATGGCACTTGCTACCATTTGTGAGAAAGAAACATCAATTTTCCATTTGTTTTCAGTCACAAATCATAAGTAATTTCCTTGCAGTGGCAGCAGCTTCAATTAAGGAAACCTTGGCCTGTTTTTCATAATCAAACATCAGTGGGTTCCGGTTCTTTTGACTGTGCAGGATTTTTCTAGGAAGCTGAGTGCTAACCAGTAAGTCATACATTGTTCATTCATCACCCTTTTTTCTCTCTTGGTATTTACTCTGCTTGGGAACCATGCTGGCATGTTTCATAATGGCACTGGGTACTAAGTTGAAACATGGAATTGCCAGTGGCTGTGAAATTCCCATAGTCTTATTGCTGCTCTACCAGCCAGGTTTCTCCTTCTTGAAGTATTCGCACAGAGGTGTAGAATGCTGAGAAACAAGGTGTTACATGTCTCCATTTAGGAGATCCTAGTAGATCTAATGTGTGAAACATGACACCTTCCTGAACGTGAGTAAGGTTCCGAAGAGTGAAGGAGGTTCTTATTGCTTATTAAGTGAGAAATTTGTGTTGATGTCTAAACAACCATCTCTCAGAAGAGTGATTATGCTGTGGGAGACCTGACCTTTTCCATTAACAGGCCAGGTAGTAGCTCTTTTGCTCCTGAGACGAACAGGACCTGTTGCTTTTCATAGGCAAATACTTGATCCTGCAGTCAGTAGCCTGGGAAACAAACTTGTAACAATCTCAGAAATCTGCCTGTAATTTTCTCCAAATATCAAGCTCCACCCGTGTCTTCATGAAGCAGTATGTTAGAGCTGATCTCGCATTGGACAGAAGAGATCTACAGTAACTGGTTTCTAATGTATGATAAGCTATCACAAAGTTATATAACCTGAGGATAGCTTCTGGAATCCAGGGGCTGTGTGAGTGCCTGAGTGGAGATCAAGAGATATTAGTTACCAGGAATCAGAGTTCTTTGAGAGATACACACCTCCAAGGCCCTTTTGCCCCCAGCCATTGTTTCCCTTCTCTCCTATTTGCAAAGATTTGCATTTCAGAAGAAACTAAAATGGTGCTGAAGATGCTACCCAGTACCTTAACCAGAAGATTTATTCAGGAAGGTGGTGATCCTGTCACAGTACTGTCAGGGATTGCCAAAATCCTGACTCGTTCTTTGTAGAGTCAGAAAAAATGGAAGTAAATATTTGGATAGCAACAGACAGAATCACAGAAAGAAGGGAAGAAAGTTGTTGCAGGAACCTACTTCCTGGTGGAGTTTTCCTTTTGTTCCGTATAACAGGGATATAAATATAAATTTAAGAAAAAGAGTAAAAGAGAAATAGCCAAATACAAGCACAAAGAGTAAACCATTGAGTCACAGCAGGGACTGAGCACAAACCTGGATTCAAAAAGGAGCCAATTTCCTTTTTTCCGTCTCTGTGTATATGTGATTAATTAGTCCAATAATGGCACTTTGGAGCTGGAAAGCATTGCCGAGATTTAGCAGGTGCTGGCTCTGGAAAGGGACAATCAGGTCCAGGTGCTCTGCCGGGGAGCAGCCAGTGCAGCAGGTGGCTTGGAAAGGGCAGGTAAGACATAAGTGGAGGGCAGCCCAGCAGTGGGGAGCAGGTCAGGCCTGGGGATGGCTGCCAGGCTCTGTCTGGATCAGGTGGAGAGGCACGGCTGAGATCCTGCAGGAGCAGGCAGTTGGGTCAGGGGCTGCCTGGCTGGGCCCCAGCAAGGCTGCAGCAGGGGGAGCACAGTCGGGCAGGGCCAGGGGCGAGAGGCTGAACTTGAAGGCAGAGTCCTGGCACAGGGTGGGCAGGGGCTGCTGCTCCCTTCCTCTCTCAAAGCCACCTGCTGCGCTGTCTGTAGGTTGACCCTGTGCCCAGAGAGCCAAACCCCCACCCCCACAGGGCACCTCAGCACCCTGCAGTAGTTGCATTTAAAATGCATTTATCAAGTAAATGAGTTTACTTAATTTTTGATGTGCAAATTTGGGCAAGTTTCACAAGGACTCTCTGATGTTACCCAGAAGTCCAAGGAAGCTGGCATGGTTGGGTTATGGAGATTGCACAGACCCTACCGTTGGGGAGGCTCCTGTGTGCAGCCCTTGTGAAGTGCAGGGGAAGCACCAGCCCAGTTAATCAGTTTTTGTAGCAATGCCATTTGTGTTTTACTTTAGAAACAGAGTTTGTAGAGTTGCTTCATTCTGGGAGTGTTGAGCTGTTAGGGATTTGTTGTTAATAACCTCCTTTTTTTTCATAGTAGGTTTTGCAAGGCATTCTGATTTATTTTGTTTATACTGCCTCTGACTAGCTATTCTGATTGATAGTGCTTTGGGGATGAAATCAGTGTTGCACCTTGCATCTGTATTTAAAAGATGTTTATTAAGTCTAGTTATGACACTACAGTTCTGTATATCTGTGCATTTCCCTCAGCAGTCAGGCTGGTTGAGAGGTGAAGCCTTGATGCTCAACTCCAAATTTCTTTCTGCAGATCAGAAAGAAAATTTGCAGAAGTCTTGCAGCCAATTCTTTATCAGGGTAAAATGTCAGTTTAGGTTTTCCTCAGTGTTCCCTACAGTTCTTTCCCAATAAAGAAAACTGCATTGGTTGTCTGGATTTGAAACCTAATAGTTTGCTAGTGCTTGCAGGAATGGATTTCCCTTTTTCTAGGCATATAGAAAGAGGGTTTATGTTAAACTGAGGTAATTCGGTTAAAAAGGCACCTACTTTACTTGTTAAGACAGAATCTGAATGTTATGCACAGGATCTGCTGGCAGTTATAAGATGTGATAAGACTGACAGCTAATTTTTTCAGAAGCTAAATCAGCTATTACTTTGTACTGAAAGTATGCTAATTGGTATAGTCTTGTGTGGTTAAAGATCAATAATTCAGTGAAGAGAACAGATGCTCTTATTTAAAGGAATTCACAGTTAATTTTATTGGATAGCTATAGCTGAAGATTGAAATTTGTAAACATAAAGGTATTTGTCAGCTTCTGCTGCTTAACATTTTCCTTTCAAGGGGAAATCCTAGAATACAAATGCTTTGATGTAGCTAGGAAGACTCATGCTTGATTTTGATTTTTAAATGTAATTAAACTGTCATAAACTAAATGTGATGCTTTCAGCTGAGCTGATATCCAATTTATATAGATATGAAGAAAATAAAAATTCTCTGATCTTGGAAGTAATTTTTTTCAACTCGATTTAAGAGGCTACAAATAGATTAATAGTATGTTTGAGGCACATGAATTGAAAATTTTTCACCTAGTCATTTTTTTGCATTTGAATTCTTATTTAGGTAGAAAGTTTTGTGTGAATGAAATTCATGCACCACACTGAACTTTGTCTACTATATTATAAATACAGTAAAATCATTGCATGTGCACCAGTTATACAGGTAGACCTTTATATACCCAACACTTCAAGAAAAAGTATGTACTAATTATTCCCTTTCAGGTATTTTACAAATACTGCCTCAAACAGAAAGAAAACGTATTTAGTAGGAAATTCCTGGCATCTCTCTCTGAATTATTCTAATTTGCATTGAGATTTCAGATCCTTGTTTGTATAAAAGCACCACTGTTATTTTGATAATCACAAGCTTTCCTAAATACACAGCAGCACTCTTCACTGAAGATCTGGATAGCTGAGTCAGTCTCAAAGAATGTATACAGGCACTAACTGTGTTCCTACAGCTGTTTGCTTATTTTTTCCTTACAAAAAGGAGCTGAAAGGGAGAATTACTATTCAGTAGGGGAGCTGAAGGTTTATTAATAGAGAGACTTTTTTCTCTTCTTGTCATTAAATTTTGTCATTACCTTTCAGTACAGAGTGTCCTCACTGATTACTAAGTAGCTCATTAAAGCTGGTTTTTAGATGTGCTTTTTTGTTCTGTTTTCTTCTTGCTGTTTTCCCATTTTGCTAGCATGCAGATGGGGGTGGGGAGTGGGAAATAAGGGAGAGAGCATGTTCCAGAGGATGCCAGGATGACTTCAGTTATTGGATGACTGCTGTCTGATAGATGGAAAAAGGAGGAGTAAACCTTTCATTCTGCACTGACAGAGCTGAAACACAGAAACCCGATTTACAGGTAAGGGTGAAAAAAATTCCTGTTATGAATAGCTATTCTTGATCCTTGTCACAACGGTTTTCAGATATAAAAAATGCATGTGCAAGCATCTTGCTTGTTCCTCACAAATTACTGTGAAGCAGCTTTGCAGATATTATTCCTCCTGCCCGGGAGGTTCCAGCCGATGTGAGATCCGTGAGCAGTGAAATCACAGGCATGCCTGATGCTGACAGCTTTCTCATGTGACAGTGTACGCATTGCATCTCATTGATGCCCAAGTTGTTCAGCAAGCTGTAGAAAGAGAGGTCATTTTGTGTGATAGAAAGACTTGCTGTTGAAAATAAAGTGTATGCTACCAACTGGAAGATCTAAAAATATTTTCTTTGCGTTTGGATAGGAAGATGAACTGCTTCTAAAACTGTGTCTTACTTAGCATTGAACAAACAGTAAAAATGGTTCCTCAGAACAACTGAAAGGGATTTTGTGGATTTTTTGCATTTTTTTTAAGTTTGGAATGAATGTGGTTGATAACTGAGTCATGAAATTATCTTTGTCATAAAGGAAAACATGATGCATTCAATTATGTGTATGAGACAGATAAATCTTGTAGTACCTACAGCATTTGTGTACCAGCTTTAATAAACTGTTGAAATAGCTTGCTTCTGCTGGGTTTGTGTTAGCAGCAGCTGTGAGTTCACAGAGACTGGAGATGGCAAGTAGCAAATAACTTGATACAGAAAATAGATTTGTTTATCAAACCACATTATATGAGGATATAGGACTACAGGCAGAAATCCTGGCCCCACTGAAAGAACTGGGGATTTTGATATTGGCCTCACTGGGGCAAGCATTTCAATGTATCAGCTCTATACTGACTTACTTCCACATTTTACTTGTAGCAAATAATTATTATTATACACATTGCCATTTTTCTGGTTTGAAGCAAAAATCTTCATTGACATTAATAAATTGTGATTATCATTGGTTTGAGAGTATATGTATTCATAAAATATATTTATAAAGCTAAAATGTTTGAATTTAGTTTTAACAGATTTCAGAGAGTAAAATCAGTAAATGCATGTATCTATTTTTGTTGTATTCACTGAGTGAATTCCCTAAGAACAGATCTAAAATTATTAAAAAGTGATGTCATTTAAGAAAAACTGGAACAAGTCAATACAAGTCTTAGGAGTGCTAAAAAGCACTGGAAGAAGCTGTCCACTTATTTATGTACCTTACCATCTGCAGCCACTGGAATGGTGTCCTTTCCTCCTACTGTTTCTTCAGAAAATGAAGCCTGGTATATTTTCTAAAAAACCATCAATCAATGAAAAAAAAATTTTATAGCAAATGTTAGCAATTCCCAAATTATTCTAAAGGCTAACGAGCTGTGTCTTCTTTATTTTTTTTTGTACTGGAATGTAAACACTGGTAAATAACACTGACTGAAAAAGAGTTGAGTTGCATCCTAAGATTAGTTATTTTTAAGCAATAGATATGTATCTGAAAGCATAAGCACAACTGTTAAATTACAGTCTCAAATCCATGTATTCAAATCACTCTTCTCCCCTCAAATGAAAAAATCTGACTCAGAGGAGCTCCAGTAACAGAGAGGAGTTGATGAAAACAGCGATCTAGTTCCACATGTGTTTAAATTATTCTGTCTCCTTGGAAACGCTGCTGCTGCAGATGGATTTGGCTTTTGGTGGCTAAAAATATCTACCTCTTAATAATGACAGCATAAAAGATACTGAATAAAACTACTGTGCTGTCACTAGTTTTAAAGTTCCCTAATGATTCAGGTATTCTACATGAACTACAGATTTGCATTTTCTGTCCAGTATTCCCTGTCAGCTGCTGCCAACACTCACCAGCTCAGTGGAAAGGAGATAAGCTCATTAGCCTATGCTGGAGATCCTGCTGAGAAGGGATCATGTGAGTGGGAGAAAGACTGGATGAAGAGTTTGAAACCAGGTAGAAAGTTGGTTAAAAAAATCATAGCGGTGATGCAGATATGTGTTGTATAATATTTGAAGATACAGGTTTATTCCCAGGGAAGTCTATGATAGGAAAAATGTGCTTAAACCATGCCTTTGTAAGTTGACAACCTGTAAAGGCAATTTTTTTTTTTATTTACTGCATTAATGAATGCTTCCTTGTCAGTTGTATCTGCAGGTGACTGAAATATTATACAAACCATTTTAAGTAAAATACTAAATTACCTCAAACAAAAGCCAAAATCTAAATTACTAAGGAACGTGTTGTAAGCAAGAAATGCCATTCTATGACTTAGCATTGCTAAGAAAGTTAATCTTTTAAAGAATTAATTATTTTCAATTAAGAATTTGTAGCCACTGCTTTCAACAGTTGGACTCTATGATACTTGTGAGTTCCTTCCAACTTGGGATGTTCTATGATACTACTTTTTTTAAATCCTGTTCTTTATTATTTATTCCCTCCATATATCATCACTTCTTTTGTTGTTAACTGCTCTTTAGTATAAATGAACAATATCACTGCTATTTTTTCGATTTCTCCTTTCCCATTGGATGGCTTCCTGATTGTGCCTAGAAAACAAAATAAACGGCATTTTCTTAATGGGTTAAATATACCCATTTTCTCTTATTTTGTTGATATATATGTGATTTTTTTGGTTTTTTTTGGTAACATGTTAGTCAGCATGCTGATTAATTTTTCATTATTGAACAGGGTATTTTTCCTGTTACGCTGTGTCTTAAAGGTAGTATTAAAACATTACAAGGTATTGTTACACCTACATATAATGAATCCTCTGCAAATTAATAATAAAATCCATTTTTAGCTGACAACAGAAGTACCAAAGGTCACTTAAAGTTGAATACTTTATTTTGATTACTTGAAATCACAGATTTAGGTTGGAAAAGAACTCTGAGATCATTGAGTCCAACTTAAACTGAAACACTATCATATCAACCAGACCATGGCACTAAGTACCACATTCAGCCCTTCCTTAAACATCTTCAGGAATGGTGACTCCATCACCTCCCTGGGCAGCCCATTCCAATATCCAGTCACCCTTCTGTGAAGAAATTCTTCCTAATGTCTAACCTGAACCTTCCCTGGCACAGCTGAAGACTGTCCTCTCATCCTGTCACTAGCTGCTTGGGAGAAGAGGCCAACACCCCCCCGGGTACAACCTCCTTTCATGTATTTATAGAGAGGGGTGAGGTCAACCCTGAGCCTCCTTTTCTCCAAGCTAAACAACCCCAGCTCCTCAGCCACTCCTCATAGGACAAGTTCTCCAGATCCTTCACCTTCAGTCTTGTTGCACTTCTCTGGACACACTCCAGCACCTCAGCATTCTTCCTGAATTGAGGGGCCCAGAACTGGACACAGGACTCCAGGTGAGGCCTCACCAGTGCTGAATACAGGGGAACAGTAATGCTGGCTATGTTATTTCTGATACAAGCCAGGATGTCTTTGGCCTTCTTGACCACCTGGGCACAGACTGGCTCATGTTCAGCCACTGTCGATCAGCACCCCCAGCTCCTTTTCTGCTGGGCCACTTTCCAGACATTCTTGCCCCAGGCTGTAAGTGCTGTATGGGGTTGTTCTGACCAAGGTTCAGGACCTGGCACTTGGTCTTCTTGAACCTCATGCTGTTGGTCTCAGCCCATTGAGCCAGCCTGTCCCAGGTCCCTCTGCAGAACCTCACTACCCTTCAGCAGATTAAGGCTGTGAATTTGGTGATGGTACACTCAATTCCCTCATTCAGTTCATCAGTAAAGATATTGAACAGAACTGGGCCCAACACTGATCCCGAGGGGACACCACTAGTGACCAGATGCCACCTGGCTGCAGCACCGTTCACCACCACTGTCTGAGCCCTGCCATCCAGCCAGTTCTTAACCTGGTGATATGAGTGAGAGGAAAGGATCCGGTATCTTCCATTCTGTAAGAAACTATTAGCATACTAAGAAAGCAGATTATTGAATGGATTATAGAAACTTTTCTATGAGAAAAATAAAATTTAATCATAGCAGACCTTCTTATTGGGAATAATTTGTTTTCTACTGAGATAGACAAACTTGAGTTGTTTAATTTTAACCCCCACTTTTCTAAGTACATAGTTTAAGATTCCATAGAGATAATAAGTAAATCTAAACATTATTTGAGGAAGTAAAGGTATGATATCTTATTGGAAGTAGCATCATTGCATTTTATATTGGTAGTCAAGTTGTGCCAATTTGACATGAATCATTTGGGTTTTGGTGTTTTTTTGGATATAGAAGCAGAAGTTCTCATCTGGTGAAAATACTCATGAGAAAGTTTGTTGCATATTGCCTCTCATGCCTTGGTTGTGGAAGATGGGGATGATAACATGGAGAAGTACTGCTTTTTTTTGTTTGTTTGTTTGGTTTGGAATTTTTTATAAAGAGTTACAGACAGATGAGCTGAAGCTTCTGCCAGGCTAGATTTTTCCAGCAATTTTTAGCATTGCTTGTTCACGCCTGAAGAAAGACAGTTCTGTGCTGTACAGCTAATATCAGACCATGCAAGTGAAGACAAGTTATCTTACCACATTAGCTGCTCTCAAGAAAACCCCCAAACTATCTATTCATCTTGTTTCTAAAGTCTAATCTCCTAAAATGAGACTTTTTTAAATCTTGTCACATCAAAGTAGTACCATTATTGTCAATAATTATGGCCAGAGCAAGGTATGTTGTTTTGTTACCTAAAATTTGCACCACTTGGATGCATACACACATCCCCTAATAAATAAACAGTTAAGGTGGAAGAGTTTGCTCCCATCTTTTTAGGAAAAAAAAAAAAAGGGTGGGGGGGAACCCAGTTCAGAGTGAGTTTTGCAAATATATTTCAGCACGTTTTTGTGTTACATGTTCATACTGTTGCTCTGGGAATTCAAGTGTTATGAGTTGGGGTGTGTTGGGTGTTTTTGTGGGTTTGTTTGATTTGTTTTGTTGGTTTGTTTTTCAAAACTCTGTTAAAGATTATGTATTTCAGAGGAGAGAATGGCTGCC